CCCACATCCCAAACCGGGAACGGGGAACATCCCACATCCCACATCCCAGGAACGGGGCCGGGAATGCCCGGATTCCCAAGGGTCCGGAGGGGAGGAGGAGGAGGAGGATGAGGAGGAGGAGGAGGGGGGTGTGTTGTGGGGGGCACTGCTATAGGACGCCCTCCATGAAGCTGGTGTCGAGGTGCTGGATGAGCACCCTGAGGAAGGACATCTCCTTGCGCGTGTTCTCGAAGATGACCCGCGGGTCGTCCGACTGGCAGCGCAGGCAGTTGGGGGCCATCACCATGGCCAGGTTGTTGACGTCCATCTTGGTCACGGCCACGTTGGACGGCTGCACGAACACCTAAGGGGGGGACGGGGACGAGGGACGGGGTCAGCACGGGGTGACCTTGGGGAACCTTCTCTTCTCTTGGGGAACCTCAAGAGGAGGAACCAGGATTGGTCAAGCAGGGCCGGGGTCAGCACAGGGTGACCTTGGGGAACCTCGAGTGGAGGAACCAGGAGGGTCAAGCAGGGGCCGGGTGAATTTGGGGAACCTCAAGAGGTGGGACCAGGAAGGTCAACCAAGGGCAGGGTCAGCACAGGGTGACCTTGGGGAAGCTCAAGAAGAGGAACCAGGAGGGTCAAGCAGGGCTGGGGTCAGCACGGGGTGACCTTGGGGAACCTCAAGAGGAGGAACCAGGAGGGTCAACAAGGCACCACGAACACCTGGGGGGGGACAGGGACAAGGGACGGGGTCAGCCAGGGGTGACCTTGGGGGACTTCGAGAGGAGGGACCAGGAGGGTCAAGCAGGGCTGGGGTCAGCACGGGGTGAATTTGGGGAACCTCAGGAGAAGGAACCAGGAGGGTCAACCAGGGGCAGGGTCAGCACGGGGTGACCTTGGGGAAGCTCAAGAGGAGGAACCAGGAGGGTCAAGCAGGGCTGGGGTCAGCATGGGGTGATTTGGGGAACCTCAGGAGAAGGAACCAGGAGGGTCAAGCAGGGCCGGGTGAATTTGGGGAACCTCAAGAGGTGGGACCAGGAGGGTCAAGCAGGGCTGGGGTCAGCACGGGGTGACCTTGGGGGACCTCGAGAGGAGGGACCAGGAGGGTCAAGCAGGGCCAGGGTCAGCACGGGGTGACCTTGGGGAACCTTCTCTTCTCTTGGGGAAGCTCAAGAGGAGGAACCAGGAGGGTCAAGCAGGGCTGGGTGACCTTGGGGAACCTCAAGGGAAGGAACCAGGAGGGTCAAGCAGGGGCACAGAAACCTGGGGTGGAAGGACCGACCGTGTGGAGCTCCTGGTTCTTGGGGGTGAATTTGGGGAACCTGAAAACCACCCCAAGAGGAGGAACCAGGAGGGTCAAGCAGGGCTGGGTGACCTTGGCGAATCTCAAGGGAAGGAACCAGGAGGGTCAAGCAGGGCTGGGGTCAGCACGGGGTGACCTTGGGGAACCTCAAGAGGAGGAACCAGGAGGGTCAACAAGGCACCACGAACACCTGGGGTGGGAGGAGGTGATGGGGCTGGTGGGAGATGGAAGGAAGGAAGGACCCCATGGAGAACCCAAAACCACCCCAAGAGGAGGAACCAGGACTGGTCAACCAAGGGCAGGGGTCAGCACAGGGTGACCTTGGGGAATCTCAAGAGAAGGAACCAGGAGGGTCAAGCAGGGGCACAGAAACCTGGGGGGGGACAGGGAGGGGGGACGGGGTCAGCGCAGGGAAGGGCGAGAGGAGGGACCAGGGTTGGTCAAGCAGGGCCGGGGTCAGCACGGGGTGACCTTGGGGAACCTTCTCTTCTCTTGGGGAACCTCAAGGGAAGGAACCAGGAGGGTCAACCAGGGGCAGGGTCAGCACGGGGTGAATTTGGAGAACCCCAAAACCACCCCAAGAGGAGGAACCAGGAGGGTCAAGCAGGGCCAGGTGAATTTGGGGAACCTCAAGAGGAGGAACCAGGAGGGTCAACGAGGGCCATGAACGTGGATGAGAGGAAGGAGGGGGACCCAAAACCACCTCAGGAGAAGGAACCAGGAGGTCCAACGGGGCGTGAGAGGAAGGAGGGGGACCCAAAACCACCTCAGGGGAAGGAACCAGGAGGTCCAAGGGAACCAGGAGGCCCAAGGAGGGCCACGAACATGGCGTGAGAGGAAGGAGGTGGACCGAAAACCACCTCAAGGGGAACAACCAGGAGGTCCAACGTGGTGTGGGAGGAAGGAGGGGACCCCAAACCACCTGAGGAGAAGGAACCAGGCCAGGGGATCCCGTGGGAGGGCAGGGGGTACCTGCAGGAAGCGGATGAGGTAGCACAGCACCATCTTGTTGATCCTGGGCAGCGAGTGGACGACGGCGATGGCGGCCTCGGGGTTCTCGTAGTGGGTGATGCACTGCTCGTAGAACTCGTGTGGGATCAGAGGCTCCTCCAGCTCCCGGTACCACAGCTTCAGCAGGGAGGCTGCCAAGGAGAAAATGTGGGATGTGGGACACCTGGCAGGAGCTCCAAAGCTG